AGATATTGGTGCTCCAGAGCATGGCAAAGGGAAAGTATAAAAATGGTGCCTGCTACTCTCTGTCCCCAGAGAGTGTTCCAGCAGGCTCATAGATGTGCATGTGTTAAATTAGGTGCCTGCCTCTTAGGCCATGGTTTTAATGTAAGCTTGTGATCCTTATTTGCTTTAAGTTTTAGTTGCCTTAACCTACCTCTGAGCTGAGCCCTGCATGGAAGAGTTCAAGTTGTTCAGCCCTTTTTGGAACTTTCTACTAGATTGATGCTGTTTTATGGGTCTCAAGATGCGATCCCTGTTGATTTTCAAAAGTAGATTTTTTGGGAGGCCAGTTCCATTTGTAAAATCTCAGGTGTTAAACACAAAAGAGATGGGGCTCATCTCTCAAGTGCATATCTTAAAATTTGGCATGCCTGTTGTGGGGTTTGAGCCCTTCACTCCTCAGGGAGAAGCTCTGGTTTTGAGTTCCCTACAAGTTGTAGTTCATTGCAGTGTAGATTGGTTTTATCTTGTGCCACATTTGATGATATTTTGTGCCAGCCCGTCTTGCTGCTTTGATGTGATTTTCTTCTCATTTGCCAGATATATAATCATCATTCAGCCAACCTTTAGGTTTTTTTAAAGAGGAAGTCTTTGCATATGTAATTGTTGACTCTCTCCGTGGGAGAAGGTGAGTTCAGGATCTTCCTATGTTGCCATCTTGAACTAGAACCTATACCTCCCCTCTTCATGTATGAATATATCCTACACATCTTTTTATATCAGTCATAGATAACTTTGTTTTATATCCATGGCTTCCAATGACTTTGAGAACCATTTAATAATAGTGGTTTCCATGGATCTATTGCCAGTCTGCCTACATATAGGCCATGGATCTGCTGCTGGAAAAGCCCTTTACAAGTTGCTAAATCTCTTAAGTGTCTCAAGTTTCTCATCTGTAAATGGGAGAAAAATTGTATTCTGAATAAGGTTGCTGTGAAATTTAAGCACTTTTTAGTACATTGCCTAGTTGGTAGTGAGCAACCAAATGTTGCCTGCCACCATTGTCATTATCATCACCATTTTTACTTAGATTATTATTTACAGAGAAATGGGGTGTTTACCTTTTTCATTGTTGCAAACTGTGCTTCACGGCATAACCTTGTGTGTTCATTATTTTGCACACGTGATTTTATGAATACTTTGCAACAAGTACAATGTCAAGGCAAAAAGGAATATAAATTTGTAATTTTTATAGACATTTTCAAATCACATCCCACAGGAATTATATCAGTTTTTGCTGTCATCAGAGTTTGACATAGTTTAAATGATCATGAATTTGCAGGTAGATTTCTGATGTTACTTCTGTTTCTAAATTATTCATAGTTTAAAATGACAATTTTTAAAGTTCTTCCTTTTTCTTTATTAAAACTACAATCCTGTCTGGAGAGCCTGCTGAAACAACCTTTCATAAAATATGTATATTGGTGGCTTATTCTTTTAGGATTCTCATAGGTAACTTGTTAGTATTTAAGGGCTTGGAAGATGATCTTTACTCTTTTATATTCTATATTTTCGTATAGTTTTGTTTCCATAAATCTGAATTGTTTCAGATTCATTTACTTTTACTCTCCATAATCTTAGGACAGTCTATTAGGAATATTCATATTTAAGAACCAAGAATCCAAAAATGAACTGAGGTTAGCTTTTTAATGTATTTTGAAAAAGTCTTTAATTAGGGCAATATTCTTCATTGTTATTATCAAAGAAAACTTAATGGGACAGAGGAATTTAAGATGTCAGAAAGTTTTCAAGGCTCATGGAGAAATTAAAAGATCAGTAAATAGTGGTCCCTGCTATACTTTTTTGTATTGGGTGAGCTAGATGTGGGCCGTTTCCAGGCTAGAAAATTTAAAAATGGACAAAGAATGCTTGAATGGAGCTTTAGAAAATACCTGTATTTACTCATGTTAAATGCCTAAAAGTAAGTGAAAGAAATCAACACAAATCAACAGAAAATATAGTACAAATATATAGTGTTATAGGAACCAATGAAATAAACAAATGCTTTAAATAGAATAGATATAGATTATTACTAAAATTGTTTGATGTGGCAGTTCAGAGATAACTGGTGTGAGGAAGCAGTTTCAGTAGGATTGTGGAACTCAGTTGGAGAAGAATGAATAGGAGGAAAATAAGTAAATAAGGTAATCTTTGGCACAGTCATTATGACAGCAAAAGGAATTTCTTTCTTAAAAATTATTAGTGCAAAGCTTCTGTTCATTTTAAAAAGTATGACTTTTAGACATCTGATTTTATTTTGTTAGTAATTGTTTTTTGTATATTATAGTCATCTTTAAAGTTTTTTATATTGCTTTTAATACTGGTTGCTGTTTTGTTGCCTTTCCTTTCACCACATTAACTGATGCCATGAAATAGTCCTCCCTTTATGAACTAACATACCTATTTTATTGAAAATATATTTAAAACTCCACTCTATGTGATAACTGCCTTGTCAATTATGGAAATTGAGTAGTTGAGCATTATTTACATTGGAAATATTTTAACAGTGTTATGTGCAACTCATTACTGAAGAAGTAGGATTAGCTTTGTCCTTTTCCTTAAATTTTTAAAGAATCAACTTTACCAAGATCTAATTCCTGTGCATTAAAAGTCACCAGAGTATATAGATAGATAGCTTTTGACAAATGCATACGGCCTTATGATGACACTCTGTTCAAGATCTAAAATATTTCCACCCCCCTAAGAACAGTTGTTCTCATGTTTAATAATTTTGACATCTAATTTTATTTCTTTTGCTTTGTAAGTACAGATGAATGTAATTTTACTTATCAAATGTTGTTGTTGTTCAGTTGCTAAGTCATATCCCACTCTTTGTGACTCCATGAATTGCAGTACGCCAGACTTCTCTGTTCTTCACTACCTCCTTGAGTTTGCTCAAATTCATGTCCATTGAGTCGGTGATGCCATCCAGCCATCTCATCCTCTGTCGCTCCCTTCTTTTCCTGCCCTCAATCTTTCCCAGCATCAGGGTCTTTTCCAGTTAGTCAGCTCTTCGCATCAGGTGACCAAAGTATTAAAGCTTTAGCTTTAGCATAAGTCCTTCCACTTATCAAGAGTACCATAAATTAACTCCTGAAATGACTTGCCTTTTGTCTATGGAAATGTATTTCTGATTGATGCAATATTTCATGACCCATGCAAAGTTAAATATAAACAATTTTATTTAATTGAGTGATTTTTAAGAATATCTAACAAAGTTTTTATTTGATCTCACTTATCAATTTAGCACATTTCTTGTTTATTTGATTTTAAAATCTTCTGAAAATACAGACTGTTCTATAGTACATAAACAGCCTATTTTCAACACTGTTGAATACTCTCTGCATTACTGTTTTTCTCATAAAATTTTAAATCACAGTATAAATTTTCTTATTTTTTTGTGGAAATTGCATATTTCCAAAAACTATTGGAAGTTTTAAAGAACTTTCAAGAGGAAGAACTATTTAAAAACATTTTTCCTTTTTATTCTCCTTCCAACCTGTTATCTCTACAGTTGAATATTTGGAATACCTATTGAAAATTAAGGAGAGCTATGTATCATTAAATAAAATGTGCTGTAAAATGGTTCTGATTTAAAGATAGGGTAAATATAATTTTTCTCATTTTAAGATTAGTAAAAATTAAGTTAAATAAGAGCTAGATATGCCTCTGTAGTTTTTTTAGGACTCTGATTCTAGATCATGCTTTGACTTTATGGCTATTCATTGCTCCATGCTGTTTCATACAGTACATCTCAAGAGACTCTTCCTGCCTCCATTCCTAATTGTGACTTCAGTTAGAGCTGATATTAATAACTTGCAAGGAGCCTGTCAGAAGTTATAACTTAATTATTTTCCTACTGTTTATTGAGTATTATTCTTGTGATTTTTAACTTGAATATTTTACATTTATGCAGTTGAAACTGAACCTCATTTAATTATTGAGCTTCCCAGGTGGCTCAGTAGTAAGGAATCCACTCCTGCCAATGCGGGAGATTCTGTTTGATCCCTGGGTCAGGAAGATCTCCTGGATCAGAAAATGGCAACCGACCCCAGTATTCTTGCCTGAGAAATCCCATGGGCAGAGAAGCCTGGTGGGCTACAGTCCATGGGGTAGCAAGAGCCAGACACAGCTTAGTGGCCAACACATTTATCCAACTAAAACAGAACCTCCTTTAATTATTATGTCAGAATTCTTTGTATCTAAGTAGATTTTGAACCTCGTTTCAATTTTCTTTAAATTGATATTTTTAACATAGATTTTCAGTATAAACCACTCATTCTTATAAGAGTGATAATATTTACATAGCCATATTTGAGATAAAAGTAAAGTAAGGTAGAAGTATGAAGGAATGAGATGAAAAAGGGGTTACAGCTTTTTCGTTATGTAGAAGTTCCTGGCATCTTCAAAGAAAACAGGTTTGACTGAAAGTATAGTTAAATTAAAGAACAGTTCGTTTTAAATAATAGGAGAATATTCTAATGATTTAAAAAAAAACAGAGGGGTACCTTGAAGGGATTTAACATTCTCTATACTTGGATGTTTTTTGGACTAAGGCAGCCAGCTGGGATCTTCTTGACCCAGGGATCAAACCCAGGTCTCCTGCTTTGCGGGCCAACTCTTCATCATCTGCCACCAGAGAAGCCTCATATATCTGGTTATCATAAGTCATCTTTAGGGCTCTCTGTACTATGTAAATTCATTGTTTTCTTTGTCTTTTCCTTCTTCAGTACTTCTCTCAACATTTTACCTTAGACTTATCTAATTCATAGGTTATTCAGGTGTTTGTTTTTTTTTAACATTTAAAGAATTTTTAAATTCTTAAACAAGGGATTTCTTTAAAATAGAAGTTTGCAGAAGAAAGAAAAATCCAATCACTTTCATATAAAACTTTTCAAATAGTAGTCAAATTTAACTTTTAGCATGGATAGGAAAAATTAACTATAGAATCTGTTGTTCCACAGGTACTGTGAGAATAGAGATGTTTCGAAATATGCAGAATGCAGAAATCATCAGAAAAATGACTGAAGAATTTGATGAGGTATAGCATTTCACTGTTTATACAAATTGCCTGCTTGTACTTGTAAATGGTGAATACGCTGATTATTTTAAGTTTTGTTTTGACTTGGTACTTAGTATAAGAGAAGTTATAGTATTTTCTCATTTATGTGATAATCCATGCTGTTAATTCCAAAATGAATCATCTTTGGAAATTTTATTACATTGCATGGAGATAGTAGCACTGAATAATGACCGATGGCTGATAATGATTGGAAAATTAATGGTATGAGGTATGACTTGATTCTTGACATTCATTCTTGAAGACCATCTAAAATCCTGAATTTATAAATGCACCTCCAACAGCTTCATACTCTGTGGAATGCTAGTCCTCTTAAATATTTTAAAGAAAAAAGGGTTTGGAGGTCAAGGAAATGTCAGAAGGCTGGCTATTACACCTACCTTAGATCTTGTCAAAGCACATTATCTTATTTAAGGTTATTAGAAATCCTAACAATGAAAAACTTCCTAAATTTAATCTGGAATTCCCCAAATTATTTCATATGGATCCCTGCCACTGACATGTGTCCCCCTGCCCTCCCCCGCCCCATTTCCATTTTCTGTGTGTGTGTATAGTACTTCATTTGGAACACTCTACTTGAGATAATCTGATTTCTATTCAAAATACACGTTTTCTTTGCTAGTTTTCACGAGTTAATCATGCATGATTTTCCATTTTAAGACTTAAATATTCTCTCAAGTAGTTTTACACTGGTCATAAATGTTTATTTTTGAGACACTTTAACAATTTTATTTCTTTATTTATAGTGAACTCAATTCATGTCAAGCTTTAGGCCAGCATCAGTTCCTGTTTTAACATTCTGCCTTTGGTATTATTTTCTGTTTTCTTATAGGTGTTCCTTTGTTTTGACCTTCAACACTAACCACAAAGATTGGTTTTCTTATAAGTCCACTCTTTTAGTAAGATGGGTTTAGGTTTTTTATTAATAGTAGCAGTAGTATTTATTTTTAATTGAAACTAGTACTACAAATACATAGTAAAGTAAATATTCAAGCATAGGCTGTTCAATGTGTTTTTCTCATCAGGTGTTCACCTTTAGCAGCAGTATCAAAATGTTTTCATGTGCAGCTTTCTAGATAAACGTTCTGTCACTGGCTTTCAGACTGTGTAGTCACAATTTATGGGACATATGGAAGACCTTGAATTGTAACGTGTGGACATAATATTTCAGAATCACTTGCCTATATTTCTGTAATCTCAAAAAGCTCTGAGTTCATAATCCAAACTCTCAGGTTTGGCTCTAAGGCCACTTGGCCTCAACTAACATAAGGCTGCTGCTGCTGCTAAGTCACTTCAGTCGTGTCTGACTCTGTGCGACCACATAGATGGCAGCCCATCAGACTCCCCCATCCCTGGGATTCTCCAGGCAAGAACATGAGGCTATTTACAGTCAATTTTTATTTCTCACAGTTTGAATATATATATATATATATATGCATTGCTGTTAAGTATTAATGTTCTTAACTACAGAGTGCTACACCAGATTTTATTGGGGTATGATGAAATATAAGGTTATGCACCAAGTTCACTTTTAAAATTTAAAAACCCTAGATTCTGAAACATTTCTGTGGGGCTGCTGTTCAGTAAAACATATTTTTTTGTTGTTGTTAATACATGAGTTTATATGTTAGAAATAGAAGCTAAAGCCAGGTAACATACAGTTAAGGTGCAAGTAGTAGATTTACTCACCAGCTACTATTCTACCATGTGTGGCCTGCAATACAGGTGATTCAGATTGTAGATTTAAAAGTGGTATATGTCTTGGACCTTCCCAGGACTAACACATGATGGAATGATTATTAAGTATTTTAAGACAGTAGTTCCCAAACTAAATTTAAGCTGCAAATTAATGTCTCACTGGGATAATGATGCCAGGCTCCCTTACGCATGCCCTAGACATTTGATTAATTTGTAAGGCATGTGACCTTGGCATAGGGATTTTTTTTAAAAAAAGCTCACCAGGTGATTTTAACATAGAACAACTATTGTTTGAGAAATATTATTCTAAGGTAAGTAAAAAGAGGAATCCAAGATTTAAGTTAAAAGAACACTTCATATATGAAAACAGGCTGAGGGGAAAACAAAAATGAATACAGTGTAACAAATGAAATTATTCAGAATGCATGTTTCATATTCTTAAACATTTTGTCTGAATATTTGAGATTATTGACCTAATCAAAGACTTTTAAAAATCAGCATTCTGTTTGAATACAATTCTGTTCTAATATTATTTTGATTGTTATTAGAATATATTAACTTAAAGCAGAATTAGATATCTCCTAGGGCTATATAAAAGTAAATAAATATAATTGTGATGATTAGAAATTTTAATAAATATATTAAGTTTCAATTTTAAATATATAATACTTTTAATTAGGTGGCTTAAAACAGTGGCATTAAAAAAATAGGATGCTTACTCATGTGCTTGAGATTTTCTTGTATAACCAATTTGAAAAATAAAAATTTGAACTCAGAATAATGAATAAATAAATAAACACACAAACAAATATACAAAATTTCCAGAGATGATATTAGTGAACAAGATGTGCCAGACCTATTTGACAATGATAATTGTCTCCAAGTATGACAAGATTTAATGAAGCAAGAACAAGTGGAAATTCTGTTTAAAGGTGGTATTGTGTTTTGGAGGGACAGACTATGTATTTGCAAAAGCCATTGATGATGCAGAGTGGTAAGACTTATGAGCTCAGTCCATAATAAGCGTAAGTGGGAGTGAATCACACATTGTTCACTGTAATGAATTCAATGAAATTATAATTCAGATGCAGATAACAAAAATTTTTATCTTCAATTCTTTAGAAAGATATTAATCTTTTGCTGCTATGTATATACTTGAGAATGCATTTAAATGCTTGCATATTATTAAAGAAACAGGTTTTTGTTTTTTTTTTCTTAAATACTGAATAGGTCATTTAATTCCTTGGGAGTGGAAGTAGGTTAGTTTTTAAATTATGATTTGTGATAAAATTCTGCAATATCTGATGAAAGGAGTCATTAGATCCCAAGATCCTAGAAAAACGCCTAGTTAGTAGAGAAAAGCCACTAAACTTCTGTTGAATGAATGACTGAATATGTTGCATTACAGTGAAGTGAAGTAAATTAAAGGTGAAATGAGGTAGAAGTCATTTCAGTTGAAACTGTTTAAATTGAAAAAAGTGGTCAAGAGTATGTTTTTGCCTGAAAAAATAATATGCTGTAGCTTCTATTCCTTATTACAAACTAGTCATACCCAGTTATTACATGACCTCTTTTGAAAGCCCTACAAATCTCTACCTGGCCAAAAGTCTTTTATAATTGTAATAACAACCTAATTTAGAAATATGTTGATTCCCAAAGCAGTCTATGACTCTTTAGGGTCAGTAGATATACTTGGTTCCTGGTGGAGTCAGTTGTCATGAGATAAAGCAAAATGTAATTGTATTTCTTACTGAGATTATTAGAATCAGATCTCCATATATAGATTCTTAGATATGGTTTCTCAAAGGTCAGTTTGTGTAGTTTTCAAATATTTAAGTAAGACTTCTATGTTGGGGAATCTTTGCAACAGAACACATTTCATGTTCAGCTGACCCTTGGACAGCGTGGGTATTGGTTACTGTAATGCCTCTGTAGCTGAAAATCATCAATATAACTTTTGACACTCCCAAAAGTTAACTACTAATACCTTATTGTTGACTGGAAACTTTACCAAATAATATTAAGTCAGTTAACATGTATTTTGTGTTTTATGTGTAGTATATGCTATATTCTTATAATAAAATAATCTAGAGAAAATAAAATGTTATTAAAATCATCAAAAGGGGAAAGTAAATTTAGTTTTGTGTACTACATTTATCATTACTGTAAGTTTGTCATCAGTTTACAAGGTTAATCATCCATTAGTACCTATATCAGTATTGTCTTATATGATACAAAACACCATAGTAGGTCTTACATATATAGCTAACACTAGATGTCAAAAATGAAAAGATAATGTGAATAATTCATATTGATTTATAATTATGATTTATGGGTGATGATGAAGAAGGCAGCAATATATAGTTGCTTTTATATTAGCCTAGTGTAACTGATAAAATTGTTTCACAGTAGCCTTGCCTTTACACTAATGAATGAATTGTAATAAAATTTTTACAGCATACAGTATTACTGTCATATTTATAATATGCTGTTGGAAACATTTTTTAAAATCACGCTAATACGTAGTTTCAGCTCATATATAGCTGATACAAGATATGCTGATACATAGTTTCTCCAGCTATATGAGAGATAGTGTGTCATACTATATAGTATTGTAACTCTTTGAAAGCAAAGTTCTAGAACACTGTGTAAAACATATCACTCACCTTATGCTTGTCTTGCACACAGAACATAATTGAACACTTAAGGAATGATGATGGCACAAGAACTCATACAGTTCTTGCCATAAAAAGATAAAGATAGTGCTCAGGTGTGTCTGACTCTTGAGATCCCGTGAACTGTAGCCTGCCAGGCTCCTCTGTCCATGGGATTCTCCAGGCAAGAATACTGGAGTGGGTTGCGATTTCCTTCTCCAGGGGAACTTCCCGATCCAGGAATTGAACCCAGGTCTCCCGCATTGCAGGTAGATGCTCTACCTACTGAGCTATGTGGGATATTTTCCGTTGGAGACACAGACATATACAACAGATAGATTTATTAAGTGTATGGCGTGGTGACTATTTGCTGTTCCTTAAGTGGAAGTGAATCATCATAAAAGTCTTTTTCCTCATTATCTTTACATTGAGTACACTGCAGAAGAGGAGAGTTTGGTCTTGCTGTTTCAGAGATGGCAGATGTGGAGGAGGTGGAACAGTAGGCAGGAAAACAGGCATATTCAGTGTAATTTTATGCAAATACATCATAATTTCTGTCTGTATTTTGCTTTTTCATCTGTATAAAAATGATTCTATATAATACCAAAC